TGAACTTTTCAAAAGGAGTGATTGTGACGCTCCTGTGTCTCTTAGGACGGTGATATTCCGCTGAGACAACGGATCACCTGGTTTGCTAATGATGGCTTCGGCAATAAAAGATGAAAAGTCAACTTTTCTCGATCCCTCGAGATCGGTAGACTCGGAAGAAACTGGATGGTGGCGAGAACAGTCAAAATGTGACTGCACATAATGTGTGGAGATTTGACTACCTTCTTGCGGACACTTAGGGTTAGAGTCCTTTAGAATTCTAGAGTTCATAGTTGAACTGCCTGCTTGAGGGGATAGAGCATAGTGCGCAGAAGTACGCACCACCTCTCTGTTATATTGACGACGTTTGTAACAGTCCTTGACATGATGACCAGGTCTTTTGCAGAACTGGCATACTGCTCGACGATTGAGAGTTGATCTTGGTTTCTCTCTGGACTGTGATGCCTTCACGTGTTGGCCAACAGGAGGATTGCTGCCAAAAAGGGGAAGCACGGGGTTGAGGCGGTTTCCTGACACTGGTGGTTTCTTATGCACCAACATATATGTGTCAGCCGACTCAGCAGCCTTCCGGATGTCAATTATCTTGTTATCCAGTATGTGTAGTCGTATCTCTTCAGGCAGGGACGATAGGAATTCTTCCCTTAGGATAAGTGACCTGAGTTTCTCAAACTCAGAAACTTCCTCCGAGTGTAGCCACCTTGAAAATATTTTCTCCTTTTCAAAGAGAAATTCCACATATGATTGAGTGGGTAACTTGCGGAGTGTTCGGAATTTTGTCCGATAGGCCTCAGGCGTCAGCTCGTAGGCCTTCAAAATGGCAGTCTTGACCAAACTATAGTTATTTTGAACGTCGTGAGAGAGTGCCTGGTATGTTTTTGCAGCTTTCCCAGTAAGGACCGAGCTCAATAAAGCAGTAATGGAAGTTTCGGGCCATTCACATGTCTTCGCTAAACTCTCAAATGAGTTAAAGAAAACGACCAAATCTGTTTCATCAAATTTAGGAACTAATTTCCCGAATTTGGCAATCACTTGCCCCACCGACAACTTTTTTGGATCTACCAGAGAAGTAACATCACTAACTTGACCAAATTCTGATTCCAACCTCCTCCTATCTAAAGCAATTTTAACCTCTAACTCCTGTTCTTTTAATGCCTTCTCTAAAGCAACTTTCTCCTCGCGGAGTAATACACCAGCCAACAAACTTTCATCAAATACCCCTTCATTAATAAAATGAACAACAATTTTATCTCTCAACACCTCTGACTTCTGCGTAACAGAATAATCCAATTTCAATTCCTTAACAAGACTAATCAAAACTTTTCTACTCAACTTCTCGACCTCCTCAAAAGTGGGATTAGCCAAAAAAGACTCCATAACACTAACTTTCAAAAACACAACAAGCCTAGATTCACTAACTTAACACTGAGCGTTGGGCCGTGTACTTGACCTCTTATCGTGACACGTCTGGCTGTTGACCTAGATACCTCTAGGCTTGCGCGCGCTGTAAGAACACAGCGCACTGGATAGAAAAACAACCAAATCAAACTAAACTTAGTGCTTACTGATATAACCAACAACTGGAACGACAGATTAAATCCCGGACGAGCCCCCACTTTGTAACGTCCCCTATCTATCAGCCAGATAGAAGGTGAACGTCCCCGGATTCTTTTTTCGGGGTCATATGCAAATGCCTTACGGCCTAAATGGATGAACACTAACACAACGACACACTAGGGCTCGAATTCGATGTCTAGGGAAACTAGTGATACTATTGTAATTAACACTCATCCAATCTACATACAACCTTTAATAAGCGAACACAGTTGTGGCAGAACACAAGGTTAAACTAGATAAAATATTTAATGTATAAAATATCAAAACCCAACTTACAGAGTGTAGGAAAAAACACTATCACAGATTTCTACACTGCCAAAAAAAATAGCCACAGGCCACACAACAATGCTATAGCTTCAAGAATTACTTGGCGACAAGTAATATTATACTAGAAGACTAAATCAACTTAAGAAAGCGTAGCACACACAGGACTTAAGTTCTCTCACGTTCAAATGGTCAGAATCTATTGCCGGACAATATGGACGGCCTGGTATAGACTGTTTGATCAAGGTAGACGGCCCGATCAAGGTAAACTGCCTGGCACAAGTCTCAAATGGAGACCCACAGATCACTCAAGGCCACTTGAGCTACTGTTCTCGTGCTGGTTGTGTTTCCTATGGTGTGACACTTTACGTGGTTCTAACCACTAGGCCACTAGTGGTGTTCCTAACCACTATGCCACATTACTCGGCAGCCAGCCGAGTTTCTAAGACCACTAGGCACCATAGACTCTACTCAGTTTCTCACCGAGTATTCGAACCTCGGCCGCCGCCGTGGCGCGCCGAGATCCTAGCCATTGAGCTATGGGGTAGTCATCTGACCAGAATCATTCAATCAGATCTTAATGGAAAATTTCTATGTTGCACAATCACTCCATATAAGGTATTATACAATGTCAAAATAAAAATAGAACCTGACTCGACCTAAGTAGGTCACAGCCATAACAATCATGTATAAATGTGTCATCTAGTGTGGGGTTTGTGCTAAATTTCTCTTTCGCACATTTTTCGTTGTGTTTTTTTCTGGTTGCGCATTTTTCTGTTTGCGCTTTTTTCTGTTTGCGCTTTTTTCCGTGGCGCTTTTTCTGTGTGCGCTTTTTTCTGTTTGCGCTTTTTTCCGTTTGCGTTTTTTCTGTTTGCGCCTTTTTCTGTTTGCGCTTTTTTCTGTGTGCGCTTTTTTCTGTTTGTGCTTTTTTCCGTTGCGCTTTTTTCTGTGTGCGCTTTTTTCTGTTTGTGCTTTTTCCGTTTGCGCTTTTTTTCTGTATGAGCTTTTTTATGTGTGCGCTTTTTTCTGTTTGCTCTTTTTTCCGTTTGCGCTTTTTTCCGTTGCGTTTTTTGTTTTGCGCTTTTTTCCGTTGCGCTCTTTTCCGTTGCACTTTTTTCTGGGAGCCGTCTTTGTTTACTTTTTTTTAAACAAACAGTTGCTATGCTTATATAAGAAAACACGGTAACTGGACATATATAATGGCTGTAATGGCTTTTTCCGATGGGAATAACGTTTTTTTTGTTACCCTCCAGGATCGGTCTAAGACCTTACATAATATTAAGGGGATCGTTCGTCAATTTAACTATATATATCTCATATAAGGAGAATTTCAGTCGCGGTCATATTTTAGCCCTCTTCGAGGTCTTTGAGTCTGACCAATAGTTTTTCCATACGGCCTAATCATCTATAGAAGTGTATGCAAAAAATTAGCATCATGTACAGACGTAAAGTACCCTAAAATTTTTGTTGAAATTACCCTGTTTTTCCCATAAAATACAAACATTATACAGGGAAATACAATTGGTCAGTTTTGACCAATTTCCATATTTTTCCCTGACATGGCGAGTTTTTCCTGACACCCCTAGGTGTTCTCCTACCACGTCACAAAATATCAAGGGGGGTGGGTCGTCGGACAAAAGCTTTTTTTCGTTATAGAGCTCATATAAAGAGAATTTCACTCGCGGTCCATGTTTTAGCCCTCGTCGAGGGCTTTGAGTCAAACCGACAGTTTTCCCTAAAGGCCTAGCCATTTACCTAAGAGCATGCAAAAAATTAGCCAGATATACTGAGTTTAAGTACCCTAAAATCCGCGTTCAAATGACCCTCTGTTTTTACCATAACATACAAATATTATATAGGGAAATACAATTGGTCAGTTTTGACCCCTTTCCAGAGATCCCGGACGAATGCATGGACCGACCGACCGACCGACTGCGACCGACCGACCGACTAAATGAAAGACCAACTGACCGCAACCGACAAACCGCGGCCGACCGACCAAATTACCGATCGAGAGATAGCTAGAGAGTAAGAGAGAGACGTCACCATGTAAAATACCATCAAGAAAAGTTATTTTTTTTTAATGCCACCGAGCTGCATACATCCACAGCGTGTTAACGATCCACAGTTAAGAAAAAATGCTACAATGCTTGTACTGGAACTGGGAGTAAATCATTGAATTGATCTTGGTAGGAATTTCAATTTATGAAAAATGCTAATTGTGGAAGGGGTTGATGTTTTTAAATGTGAAATGTTTTTAAAGCGGCAATTGCAATTAGATAAAGACCGCCATAATTACCCAGTGCTAGTTAATTCAAATTATGTAACGATAGAACCTTTGACCTTTTTCTTTATACAGTAGGTGAAGAAAATATAACTTAAACATCAAAATCGTAGAGTTTTCAAATGTATTTATTAAAATGAACTTCGTCCATCGTATTTTTCAAGATAAAAAAACAACGCATAAAATTGTTAAGTGACATATAATAAAACAGTTTTAAAAGTTACAACAAATTATATTTAGTTATCAGTGAACAGCCCGTTGCTTTTAAAAATCGATTTCTTGAAATCCCAGCAACACATATTTAAAAAGAAAAGCTCCCTTTTTGACACAAAGAAAATACGTTTTTATATCATTTGCATGCCTTACATCCCTGCAACTGTATATACGGCCCTACGATTTGTCTTAACCCTTGTTACAAATCTATTCCTACCTAATAATGAACCCATCGAATATTAAATCCTAAACTGGTTTTGAATGGTATGTATTAAAACAACTTAAAAGCGAAACATTGTTAAGAAGGCAATAAATATTGAATTACAAAATTACTTAATATTTACATGAAAATAAGATGTAAAAAAGTGAACATTTTACAACATAATCAACAAAAATCGACCAAATTGAAAAACTATTAATAAATTGAACAATTAATGAATCTATATTATTTTATAATTTCTAAAAAAAACACCAAGAAGATTTTAATTTAAAATTCTTTACAATTATAACACAATTATATATTTTGAAACATACCGTACACTATTGACTACAATACGAACAGTGAAATTTAAATCTTAATTTTACTTGTGTTAACTGAGAGGCCAAAACGTCAGTATATCATTCTCTATGTTCTGGCTTTATAAGCGGCCCATTTTTGCTGTACGATTTGCCAGACGAACAAGAGAGGATTTATGGCAGAGTTTAACGGCAGTACAAACACAGAGAGCCAGCCCATTCTGTTTGGGCTGATATTTATTTCTACAGCTGACAAGAGTCCTGTGACGGAGATAATGGAGCCACCGATGATGTTAGACAGAATGATAAGGAACAAAGTTTTTGTGTTGTTTATTTCGCTCTCCACACAACTACTATCAAATAAAATTACCTTCAGAATCAGAATCAGACCGATAACCGTTAGGCTGATTTCCACACCTGACACAATAATGTGTATAAAAATAGCAAGCATCCAGACATGTTGTTGTTTGTTTGGTAAAGGAAACCCGATACACAAAGCATTAGAAGAGTAGATGTTTACAGCTGGGATAAGGATAGGTAAAAGGGAGATGACGACACACAGACACCAGACACACACGTACAGCGAGACTAAACTAAAACCTACAGTTTGTCGTTCTTGTGTGGGATGCCTGTGGACATTATACAGCTGAGCTGTGATCAGAACTACAAACACGCCAGAGGCGACATACGAGAGAGTAGCGAGAAAACCTGCGGCCTTACACAGTGAACTGTCTCGCCATTCTGTGTCATGCAACACGTAGTCGTCACGGTAGTAAACATCAGCTCCTGCTATGAACAGTAAATACACGCTCATGATCAAATCTGACAAGACGATATTAAAAGTAGAATGCTTGAATGTGCTTGGGTCATAGTTTTTGACATATTTGATGATAATCACCGCGACATTACCTACAATACCAATGAAAGCAGTCAGCCATAACAAGGAACGTTTAACAAAGTTTCCCAATAGATTGTCACATGACGTAATAGGGTCATCGGGTGCAAAACATTTGACAGATTGAATACCTGGACAACTAAACTTACTGCAGCACAACTTGTAGTTGTCACCATATACATATGACTTGATGGTTAAAGATTTTAATATTTTAGAAGTGTTAGTATCAAATTTTAAAGAGGTATTTCTTATATCTAGCGTGGCTATAGAAATATGAGATTTAGAAATCCATAAAGTGTTCAACTTTGTGTAACTGATGTTTAAAAAATCCAAAGCAATATCCACCTCACCTACAATGGTGAGTGAATTAAGATCTGAAAAAGAAAAATCTACCACCCAGTTTCGTGTATAGCTAACATTTAGAACAAAATCTTTTACATGAGTGTGAGAGAGATTTAGGATCCTCAAATTTTCTGCAATATCAGAGTTTGTGCCAATAACAATATCGTTATAACTGAGATCGATAAATGTCAAATAGCGCATAGCATGCCAGTACAAACTAATAAATTCAAACACAATTTCATTAGATAGGCTGCAGTTTGAGAGATAAATTTCGAATAGTTGTATTGCCCCGTGAAGATTTTTAAAATATTCAGTCCGTAAAGCTATACCAGATAGAACTAAAACCCGAGTAGACTTGTCTATACTCAGAAATAATTCTCCGTGATCGACGTCGTTATGGTTATTGACCTGAGTGACGCCATAACCACAACCAAATCCTGCCGGACATTTCTCATAGCAGTGCAGCTCGTCATCACGCGCAGGGCAGTTGTTAATGCCGTCACAGACATGCGCAGGGTGGACAAGTCGGGTAAACCCGCGGCAGGTCATCAAATGAACCTGCATTAATTTGAAAATAACAGAAAAAGATTCTTCCTCCCCACCTGGACAATCACTGTGACCATCAGACACCATATAATACGGTATGCAATACGAGTCGGGACATTTAAACAAGGCTTTGGAACAAACAAAATTTTCGCAGTTAGCTAAGTGAGACATATCAGAACAGCCTATTCCCTTGTCCCGTCGGTACCTCTGGACAAGGTGTATACATTTAGCGGCCCATGTGACATTGTTATGTTGAAAGCTTGACCGAGAGTTATTTGAATATCTCCCAGCTACACACCTCACTACATGTATGTTCGCATCTTCGCGATGTACATATTCAGTCTCTTGATACAACGCCAGCATTTCTTCAACCCTTTTGATCTTGTCGTTATTCACACAAATCTCAACACGTTGCAGTTTGCTCATACAATAAAAATTGAATTTAAAAAACCACTGGGTAGGTAGACATATTCCATTTGATAATGTCATCTCCATACAAACGTTGCAGGTATTTTCATCCATCTTGTCATGGCAATCATAGACACCATCGCATATTTTTTCTTCTTCAACGCAAGTCTTTGTTACAACGCTCCTGTACTTTTCAAAGCCTTTCTTTACATAATCAATTTTAATGTCGCAAATAAACATGCCCGCACACGCGTCTAGTTTAGTCCCTCCTATTTGTTCATCTGATGAATCGGGACAGTCTAAGTAGCCATCCCTAATAAAACTGGCTAAGACATGTTGTCCGATGGGACTACATTTATACGACGCCATTTCAAAATTTACCTGTTCTAAATAACCCAAATAACCTATATTTTCATTCGACTCCTTCATTACATCATTATTTGTCCTTTTATCATTTACTTGGCCGATTGCAAACCCCCTTTCATCATATGTGTTAACCTCATATTCACAAAGCACTGCATTGGCATGATCTGTATCCGTAGACACTTGAATCCAAGACTCGTTTATGTTAGTCGGGTTCAAATGAAACTCTAACGCAAAACACGAATCTTCTTGGGCGTGTTCTAACTGGGACAAACCTAAAATGTTTGTGCTTTTAATTCGCCAGTGTGAAAACTGGGTATGTTTTATGAATTGCTTGCATACAATTATAATTGAACCACGTAGACTTAAATTTGAATTCTTTGTTAAATTATCATCTAACTGAACTACCAATGTGTTCATTATGAAATCAAATTCTTCAATGGTTTCTATACGAACAACATGAGAGCCACCTAAAGCCTGACAATGTGCTGATGATATGTCATGATTTACGAGCGAATTTTTTACTTTTAGTGTATAGCATGAAAGGTTCGAGATATATGCTTTGTTTTTACTTCTGAATAAAAACCAATCAGCATTACATTGTCCACAAATCGTCAAAGCAATACGCTGGTTATCAAATAAATCATCATTTGATGAAATCATGGCTTCAATGTCTAAAAATGTAAAATGCCACGAAACACTTTCGTATGGTTTAATCCATATAATAAAAGAATTCAAAAAACTATTCATAACGTTAATCAATTTGTTTGATTTAACGTCATCTGGATATGTATGGCGGCAAAACTCACATAGAAATACAACAACGCGAGATGTGTTGTCATCGCCCGCTTCCATCTCTTTAAAGTATTGCATCGCTCTCCATTTTAATTCCTCAAATACTTGAAAATGACGCCCAACATGATTGTTCAGATTTTCTATTTTTTCTAGCAGATCTCTTGAGCTGGTGTAAGAATTAAACCCAATCAATGGTTGCGTCAGGTTGGACGATAAAAAAATGGCGACTCTGCTGTTGATGATTTGATCATCAGCCTCGGGTAGAAACATGTTGACGATCGATTTTAGTCTCACTCTTTGTATGGGAGTCACTGTAGCCACATGGATGACTAGGGCGATTTTATTAGTTCTACAGTTGTCTAAGGGAAAATTTAAACACAAATCTGAAAGAAAAATAAAACAAAAAGTAAATAAAAACAATTCTAATAGCAATTTTCAATTAAATATACTAATAATGCGGGAGTGATATCCCCTAAACTTTCCCGCATATTCTTTTACAACAGAAGGGTGGGGAGGGGAGGTGGTACATCACTGCACTGGTTTATGTGAAAAATTTATCTGTAAAAGACCGTGTGTTTGATAAGCAGCATAAACCCGGGGCTAGGAACATGAACATGAACATGAACATGAACATGAACATGAACATGAACATGAACATGAACATGAACATGAACATGAACATGAACATGAACATGAACATGAACATGAACATGAACATGAACATGAACATGAACATGAACATGAACATGAACATGAACATGAACATGAACATGAACATGAACATGAACATGAACATGAACATGAACATGAACATGAACATGAACATGAACATGAACATGAACATGAACATGAACATGAACATGAACATGAACATGAACATGAACATGAACATGAACATGAACATGAACATGAACATGAACATGAACATGAACATGAACATGAACATGAACATGAACATGAACATGAACATGAACATGAGCGGTAGCAAAAACAAAAACAAAAACAAAAAAAAAAAAAAAAAAAAAAAAAAAAAACAAAAACAAAATAAAAAAGACAGAATTTAAAAAAAAAATGTACTCACTGCATAGTAAACAGCCCATAAAGACAATGATTTGTTGCCACATACTAAACAGTTTACGTTACTTTGACTAATTGAAAACTGATCGCTGAAACATATATTTTAGATTGTATTATATATATATATATATATATATATATATATATATATATATATATATATATATATATATAGGGCACTTCGCGGCGCTTCGAATTTGACAGGATCCTGCCCTGGAGCGATTGAACACGAAGGCCGGTGCCGGTTGGCCGAAAAGTTAACGAAGAGGGGGTCAAAACTGATCTTGTCTGACCGTCGCCTTATATAAGCTATATATCGAAAATAAATTCCCACGTAGGAACCTTTTCATAACTCCTGAGGTTGTAGATCGATCCTAGGGGGTAACAAAAATAATATGGTATGTTCCGGAAGACCTTTAGAACTGACCGGTCTGAATTTTTCCTATATAAACATTGTTAATTTTCTGAAAAACGATGACTCTTTTCAAAACAGTGATTTGGGATTTCGGCTCTTTACATCTCGCTCATTTTTTCCCCATAAACCTGGGTAAATGAATCGGCCTTATGGGTATAGTATCGGTCTGTCTCTGCTCACGCGGCGAGGGCTAAAAGTGACCACGAGTGTAATTCTCCTTCAATCAGCTATATTTCATTATATAAACATAAATCCGTTTTCGTAAAAAAAAATACAAATATCTGGACGTACAAACCCATTCATAACTCCTGAGGTCGTAGAAATACCAGCGGGGGTCACTATAGAATAGGCGTTATATTCTGGAAAACTTCGTAAGGCCATTAGAACTGACTAGTCCGAATTCTATATAAAAACTTTGTAAATTATCAAAAAATATTTTGGAACTTTGGCTCTGTACATCTCGTTCATTGTTACCATAAACCTGGGTAAACGAATCAGCCTTAAAGTATCGGTCAGCCTCTGCTTGCACGGAGAAGGCTAAAAAGTGACCACGAGTAAAATTCGAATAATAACCCAATATGAGCTATATATCGAAAACAAATTCCCACGTAGGAACCCTTTGTAAACTCTTGGGGTTGTACAGCGGCCCCTGTAGGTCAGCAAAAAAAATATTGCTACCCCGGAACAATGTTTTAACTGACCAGAGGCCTTATTTCCTTAAATAAACATAGTACTGCTTTTGCAAAAATAAATTCTAAAATCTGGACGTACTAACACATTCAAAACTACCGAGGTCGTAGAAATACCCTCGGGGGTCACTTTACAGTAGGCGTTATCTTCAGGAAAATTTAGAACTGACCGGTCCGAAATCCTATATACACGTTGTTAATTAGGTTAAAAACGAAAACCATGTTTCCCACGTAGGAACCCTTTAAAAATTATCTGAGATGTACATCTGTACAAGGGATTCAAGAAAAAAATGATGCTACCCTTGGGAAAATTCCGTAACACTGTTTTAACTGACCAGAGGCCATATTTACTTATATGTAAAAAAAAAAATACAAAAATCTGGACGTACAAACCCAATCATATCACCTGACTTCGTAGAAATACCCGCGGAGGTCACTATATCTTAGGCGTTATCTTCGGGAAAACTTCGGAATGGCTTTAGAACAGACCGGCCCGAATTCCCTTTATAAACATTGTTCATTTTGTGAAAAACGATGATTATTTTCCAAAAAAAAAAATTTAAACTTCGGCTCTGTATATGTAGCTCATTTTTCGCATAGAGCTGAGTAAATGGATTGGCCTTACGGCTGAACTATTGTTCAGCCTCTGCTCGCACGGCGAGGGCTAAACTTTTACCACGAGTGACATTCTCCTTACATCAGCTATATTTTTTTAAAATGCCAAACGATCCCCCTGATATTTTGTGAGGTCGTAGACAGACCTTTTAGGGAAACAAAAAAACTTTACTCCCGTCGGAAAAAACCATCATGGTCGTTAAATGTCCAGATTCCGTATTTCCGTATTTGCTTATATAAGCATAGCAACTGTTTGTGAAAAGAAAGTAAACAAAGACTACGTCATTCGTTCAATTCACAAGAGAGGTAACTGTTTAATATAAATATTTTTCAAACAATTTTATATTATTTTAAACACAGACAGAAAATGACGAAGTAGGCCTATAGCATTTATTTGAGTATCATTTATGTTAAGTATTAAAGTTTGTATCCTAATTAAGTTGTTGCAGTTAATGTTAAAAGTCATTTTAATATAACTTATGAGTTACACTATTCAGGGAACCATTGTAGTTCGAATTACGCTCCAAGTAATACATTTTGAACATTCAAAAATTCTTAGAAATCACGATGACTGTTTAATCTTAAGCTCTCCATATCAGCAAATTACCATCTAATTAAGCATTGAAACTCTCAATTTTTTTTAAAACCTAAGCGAAGCTAGGCAGTATGCCTAGTTCGTTATAAATAGTGTAGAGGTCAAGTAGAAGAAAGAAGAAACAGAGCGTAGCGTCATCAGGTAGACCAATGGAATTGCAGATGTCCGGTCACGTGTGACGGTCAGCTGATCATTGACTGATGGATAGCAGTTGGAGATTAAGTTAGTGCGTGTAGCGGTCAGACATGTAAGTTTGTCGAGGTTGACCAGTTTAGCATGTAGACAGTTGAAATGTAGATAGTGTTAGAGTTGGTCATGGGAAAGTGTAAAGAGAAGTCAAGTGTTATTTGCAGTTAGATAGTGTTAGTAGACAGTCAAGTGGTAGGACGTAGCTATAACCTAGTAGGAGGCAAAGACTGATGTGTAAATAAAGAACTATAGTATATCTTGAATTGGACTTGTGTTTATTCCACAAACTGTACCAGACATGAATAAGAAGAGACTATTCCCGGGCGAAAACATATTATAGTGCACTTTACGGTGTACAAATAATAATAAATGCATATATAAAAAACCCAACCATCAAAATAAGTTGCACGTATAATTGTAAAGATAGAAAAACAAAGAAAAAATTAACACAGTCATGATTGTGTTTATTAAATTTTCTTTTGAGCTGAAGTAGAAACTTTAGATTGCCTTGTATTCCTATTGTTAATGAAAAACAACGTGTACACTGATGTGAAATGTAAAACATGTTTATAGCCTTGGACGAGGGAGAAAATGAGATTTCTGTTTCAAATCAATTTTTTTGCAATACATTGAAAAATAAAACGTAAATGATCTTTACTAAACCCGTTCGTATTTTCTGAAATGGGAGATCCAGTGGATGCTTCAGCAATCTGAATTATTTTGACAAAACTAAACGTCTTAATTTTAATTTTTTTGTTTTTAAATTTTAAATTTTAATTTTAATTATATTATTTTTGTTTTGTTGAGAGAACACATAATATGGCGCCTTTTATATCGACTTTCATATATCAGTATATGAGGTCTAATGTGATAATACTTTCAAAATACCTTCATAATCGGTCATTTGATACCCAAAAATACAAACTTAAAATAACAATCACAGATAAACAACTTACCTTTAGGAAGCCTCACAACAATTGACGACACAACTTTATCCCAGTGGTGTGTGCAAGACAAGTACTGGGGATCACGACTGAGTGCCACGTCAAAGATTTCGCCCGAAAATGACGTTGTTCGTCAAGCTTTTAGCCACGCCCATAGGGATTTATTTCTCAACGTGGCGTTTCCAGAACATTCAAGAATTATCTGGTCATTTTGAAGTAAAACACACATCTAATAAACAGGGGATATAACTGTCAACGTAAATCACATTTTGAATAGACAGCTTTAAAAACAAACTAAATTAAATCATGCAAACAATTAAGCACAAACACGAAGAATGACGTCCAGAAATAATCGAGGGAAACTCAGAAAAGTTAATTACCTTGTGAAGATCACGATAAACTTTATTTTCTTCTCAAGTTAACTTCTCTACAATCCCCACCATGCAATCCCACTGTATTGCCTCTCAGTATGGCTGTTGTGTAGGACAAAATAACCATCTTAATGCACAATCATTTGGTCTTTTGTATAAAGCTCACACCTTGCATGCCCTTGCTAATACAAATAAATCTGACGGAAAGAACAAAACCTAACAAAATATTCTAACTTCACTTAATTAAGCGAATACATTAACATTGTTGCAAGAAAGATTAGACGTCGAAAGTCGAAAATTTAAAATCGAAAGTGTAAAATTGAGAATCGGCTCTCATATGTCATACGTCACACGCCCACATGTCAAACTACAAAA